CCCGTTTGATCTCGTCGGCGAGCTTGATGAAGTACGCTCGTTTTATGAAGCTTGCCTGGTTTGCAAAGTCCGTCAGATTTGCGAAGTTCGCCAGAATTGGGAACTTTGCCTGAATTGATGAGTTCATCAGATTTGGGAACATGGTGTAAGTTTGCCAAAATTGAGAACTCTGCCCATAAAGCAAAGCTCGCCTGAATTGCAGGACTCGCCAGATTTGGGTAGTTCGCCAAATTTGGGAACTTTGCCAGAGGAGCGAAACCTGCCTGAGTAGGTGGGTTCGCTTGCTTGGCGCAGTTTGCCAGAATTAGGAACATTACGTTCTTGCTCGGCTCTCTTGGAGAGGAGCGTTCATGTCGATGGCGAAGGCGTGTTCCGCGCCGACATGAATTGTCGTCTCCTCTTGCATAGGGGCCTGCGTGGATTGTTGGACAACCCAATAAGCAGCCCCTTGGCTTGCACTCCTGGCCTTTTGATCAGCCTTCAGTGGCTTGGGGGAGATAAAACCCTCAGCGCCTGCTCGGGTGGAGCTCCTAGGCGCAACGACCTTGGCTATTTTGGGTTGAGTCACGCACACCATTTTGCAGCATTTGCGTGACGTCTTGCTGCTAGAAGAAGCCGAAGATAAGAACTCTTCGTACTTGGCTTAATCGAACTCGATGACGTGGGACTCAACGGTAGTTCCTGCAACAACTTCATCGAACTGTGCCACCAATTCATATGAATGAACGGATGCTCCCACTGGTCGCCATCTTCTGTTTGGTGTAAAAGTTTGATCTCCCGAAAATGGGACTGATTTGTTATTAATTGAATGACAATTACAAATCAAGAAAATCAAAGATTACAACAGAAGCGGAGGGAATGTCCTTGTTTAACGTGGGTTCTTCGATAGCCATAGGACGCTTCCCTCGATGCTCGTGCCGAGTTTGCATCCCTTGGACGATCCGATCGAAGTTGCGGGGCCATAGGACGCTTCCCTCGATGCTCGTGCCGAGTTTGCATCCCTTGGACGATCCGATCGAAGTTGCGGCTGAGCTTCAATACATAGTAGAAGCTCAATTGGATGAGTTTGACTACCCGAGCTTGATGAGTATCAATGCCAACTTTGATCTCAAAAAGACTGTAATGCAAGAGTTTGCAAAGAGCCAACTTCGGTTCTCTTAGAGCTTAAGAAAATCAATTGCGAAGGAGCCAAATAGGTTTGGTCTTGATCAAGAGTCCAAGACCTCTCTTTTTGTAGCCATCATTAGCTATTTATAATGGAGGAGAAGCATGACCACTTCCTCAAATTGTGGGATTGTGATTGAGAGGGACCATAACTTCATCCCTTAAATTTTGGGATGTGACCATTAGAGGTGAGGAGAAACATACTCCATACCTTAGATCATGGGGAGTGGTGTACACACTCCCACGTTTTAAGCTCAAGTGGCTGATTTGGTCCAGCTGTGCAGGCGAACCTCATTCAGGCGAGCTTCAATGCTATCAGACGAGCTTGGCCTTCGGACGAGCCTAGGTCATGCAAGCGAGCTTCAAACTGTCAGGTGGGCTGAGCTATGTAGGCGAGCTCCAAGTGTTGACAGACGAGCTTGGCCTTCAAGGCGAGCTCCAAGCGTTGACAGGCGAGCTTGGCCTTCAGGCGACCCTGGATCATACAGGCGAGCCAGGCCTTTAAGCGAGGCTATGCAGGCGAGCCTTGCAGATGAGGCTGTGCTGGCGAGTTGTGCAGGCGAACCTCATTCAGGCGATCTTCAATGCTATCAGGCGAGCTTGGCCTTCGGGCGAGCCTGGGTCATGCAAACGAGCTTCAAGCTGTCAAGCGGGCTGAGCTATGTAGGCGAGCTCCAAGTGTTGAAAGGCGAGCTTGCTCTTCAAGCGAGCTTGGCCTTCAGGCGAAATTATGCGAGCGAACCTTGTAGGCGAAGCTGTGCAGGCGAGCATGTGCGAGCGAACCTCATGCAGGCGAGCTTCAATGCTATCAGGCGAGCTTGGCCTTCGGACGAGCCTGGGCCATGCGGGCAAGCTTCAAGCTATCAAGTGGGCTGAGCTATGTCGGCGAGCTCCAAGTGTTGAAAGGCGAGCTTGCTCTTCTGGCGAGCTTGGCCTTTAGGCGAAGTTATGCGAGCGAACCTTGTAGGCGAAGCTGTGCAGGCGAGCTTCGCTTAATTCGGGCGAGCTCCAATGTTCAAGCGAGCTCTAGTTGTAGGCGAAGCTGTGCAGGCGAGCTTCGCTTAATTCGGGCGAGCTCCAATGTTCAAGCGAGCTCTAGCCTTGCAGACGGACTTCCTTACAGGTGAACTTCAGCCTTTTCAGGCGAGCTTCAGAACATGCATCGAAGAATAGGCCATAACTTTCAAACCATAAGTCGGAATTGGACGAATTATATATAAAAATCGACTATCTCGACGAGACGGAGCCGACTAAACCGACCAAATGGTTCGGTTTGCTTCCTCCGTTTCACCAAATTCCTTACGGTTTTGAGAGATATTTGTGTTTATGTCAGTTTCTCACCAAAACGGTAAAAAAAAAACTGAAGCCTGCTCTGAATTATCTCTGCTAGGGACAAAGACAATTTTTATTGCCTACAATACCTAACAAAGAGTAGATATATAATAGGAATTGAAAGGACTTGTGAAATAGTGGAGAGAGTGGATGGAAGAGGTCATTTAAGATATTAAATGCAGATCATGTAAAGGAATTTAATTAAAAAAACTATTAATAAAATAATTATAAAATATAATAACTATTCTCATTTAAGTATGTGTGTATGTTACATGTATATATGTGTTTTCTTATGTATGTACAAAATTGGATTGGATTGGATTTCATGGGAATTATAAACATTGTAAAGGGCAAAGTAGACATTCAAAAGTTTTGACACACATTCTCTCTTTTATAAGTAATAGAGATTTCTTTCTCAATTGGGATTTTCGCGCCGGAACCTCCTTCGAAGAGTTCACAAGTACTCCTCTTCTACTCTTTCGACAATTCTAGATGACCCGTTGGTCGATTCCGTAGAGAGAACTAGCAAAACTTCATAGGTTAACCAGTTTAGCTCTTGCACTGTGAGAAGCCCGACCCTTTTCTGTCTCTGTGGAAACTTTGAATCAGGATATTTTCCGTGAGGTGAAATTTGCAAATGTGGTGGAAATATATGGCATTTCTCATGCATTAGAGTCATTCTCAATGCTGGTTGAGATTTTCTCGTTGGTGAAAATGCGTGGAGAAGTTAGGCATTTGCTTCTTGATGTGATGGTTTTTTACAAGGGATTGCTTTCTGAAGTTGTGAGATTTTCTAGTGGTTCGATTACGCCGTTGCAAACCTATGGAGATCTGATAAAAGCTCTCGTGGACAATTCAATGATTGAGGATGCGCTAGAATTTTGTTTGGAGGCTATGGGAATTGAGCTAGAAATGAGCGTCCCTCTGTGCAATTCTTTACTCAAGTTGATCTTGAGATTTGATTCCATTTTATTTGATAAGCATTTTTCTTTAGCTGCATGTGCGTCTCTCTGCAGATCAAATCAGAGTTTTATAGTTGAACCACCTGTCATTCGTCAGTCAGTTCTTTGGTATGTCATCTTTCTGCCTTCTTGGTGTTTTTATCTTTTATTTGGAGATCAGCATCTTCTCTTTTGAATTATTCTATATCGTTAGGTATTATGTTGCATTCAATGTAAAATATGGTATTGGCAGGTCGTAATACCCAAGAACGTGTTATGATTCATTGAGATTGGTGCTTAACACTGCAACGGTTGTCTAAGCATATCCTAAAATATAGGCAGATCAAAGATCGAGCCGCTTGCTAGCTGGTAAGTTGATTCTATGGTGGACCAGCAAGGAGGCTTTGTTCCGTTCTGTTGGTCCCATATGTATGAATAAGCTTTCATTGCTATTGTCCTGATGGAGCTATTATTTGGATATTTCCAGCATGAACCTTGGAATTCATATTGAACTGTCATTTCCTTCGCTGCAGGCTTTGGCTAGTAATCATGTTACATCATCCTCAATTTGTTTTACAGATTCATAGCTCCAGTTAATGGACCACCTCGCCCATCCTTCAACATCTAATGAATTTGAAAGCTCGAGCTTGAGTTACTAGCCAGTGATTTTGAACTTGCTTTTGATTGAGCATCAATTTATGTTTACAACGTGGTATTTTTCTTGTAAACAATTAGAGAGTGTGAAAAGAATTTCTGATGTTTATTGTGTACCTGTATTATTCCAATTTACGTGAGGAAAGTTAATGTTATAGCATACGAGAATCCTTGGACTGATTTGTTCAACCGTTTGAAAATTTCCCCCCTTCTCCTTTCATAGATCACCTGTTTAAAAGTTTTAATCTTAAATTACCTTTTCAACTGTATGTATATTTTCCTTGAGAGATCCCCTTTCCATTGAATCCACCGGTATCTCCTAAGGCACAATTTTTAACAAGGAAATATATCAGTCCAAGGATGACTACGGTTACACAATCGTTAATCTTAACAAGGAAATATATCAGTCTGAAAAATATATGTTAGCGGTGTGTTCTGCTCCTTCTCGCAATTGTCATACGCTAGTGCAAAAGATCTAAATCCGATACAGGGGGAAATCTATTGCTACGGTCAGGTAGAAGACATCATGGAGATTTTTATGGGATTAATAAGGAAGTCAGTCATGTGATGTTTAAGGTTCGTTGGTGTGAACAGAAAAAGGCGAAGGATGACTACGGTTACACAATCGTTAATCTTAACAAGGAAATATATCAGTCTGAAAAATATATGTTAGCTGCTCACGCCAAACAGTGCTTTTATGTTAAAGATATAATGAACAATGACGAATGGGTTATCCTTAAGAATCCGCCTAGAGCCTATATTCATGAAGTCGTGTCTGACGAAGATCACGATGAGGAGGTTATCTTGGCCGACGAAATAGCCGAGGAGTTTTCATTGACACAAAATAATAATCTGGACGATGAAATTGCACTAGCGCGCCTTGATGTACCTGCGATTATATGTGAGCCAAGGTGTAAAGGTAAAAAACCTGTCCGTAGCGGAGTCGATAAAACTATAAGAACAGTCCTTTTGTTGGCACGCACACGGTCGCAGGCTATCCGCACACGATCGCAGAGTAGAGCCTCAACATCATCAGTTTGACTGGTTATCATGTATCACGATGTGTCATGTATTATATTATTACCTTTATATTATCTGGTTGACTGGTTATCATGTGGATGTGTCATGTATTATATTATTACCTTTATATTATCTGGTTGACTGGTTATCATGTGGAATAGGCAATGTATTATATTATTACATTTATATTATCTGGTTGACTGGTTATCATGTGGATGAGTCATGTATTATATTATTACCTTTATATTATCTGTTTGACTGGTTATCATGTATCACGGTGTGTCATGTATGTATTACATTATTGCCTTTGTATTATCTGTTTAACTGGACATCATGTACACGCGATTCTGTTGCCATGTGCTATTTTATTAATTATTTGCATTATATACTTTTGTTGGATATTCATTATGTTTTCAAAGTATAGATGACAAAAGGATTTCGTAAGAAAGCGCTTGAGAGAATATTTGGTAGACATTCTGGAGGCGACGCACATGCCTCTACATCAGGTATTTTTATTTATTTGTTATATCTGTACATTTCTATAAACTATTAACATGAGCCTCTCTATTTTTTTAACATTTACTACACAGGAGGAGGAGATGCTACACATGACTCGCAGCCACAGGACACATCACGCGGAGATGCTCCACATGACGTGGAGACACAGGCTAATCCTACACAGCATGCGGAGATACCACCGCCACCGCATGCAGATGTATTGGAGGAGAGGAGATTTGAGCCGTATAGCGTAGCTTTAGAAGCTGCGGCACTACCGCCAGATTCTATTACGGATCAGCGAGTCCATGGTGCGGCCAAGGTGAGGGATGATTGGGATTCTTATCATGCTATGCGCCCCATCACGCAGCAAATGTACAAACAAGCAAAGCGTAGATGCCTCGAACTGAAAGGTATGAATAAATTTTTGTAGTTTATCGGTTATTATTTTAAATTTTTTTCGCAAATATAGATTGATTCATTGTTTCATTCGATTCTTTGTTTCGTAGGTACCGGGCGACCTCCTAGACGCGGCCACAATGCTACCAAAGAAACGAACATCATCCCTGATATTAATCGGAGGGCTGTGATCTGATGGGAAAACGGAGTGCCTGTCGGGGCCTTTGCCAATGCTTTCAACAATTTCCTTGCCACTTTAGCCAGGAGACACGATTTCTTCAACATTTTTTTGACGTGGAAATCACAACGGATTGATGCGCTGGTGGCTTGTTGGAGATATATATGTGTGAGTCATTTATTTTAATTTTTATCATTATTAGTTATTAGTTTATTATTATGTTTAATACACTGATTTGTATCTATTTTTTCTTTATATGCTGAAGCGATTTTTCTTTCTTGACGATAATATTTGTGCCTGGACGTACTGCTTCGGGCAAATCAATGTATCGTTCAAGAGATGGCGGTTTAAGATAAAGAAAAAATATTTTATCCAAATAAAATAAGATTGGGAGCGATTCTGGCATCTTGACGAGCGTGTGGATGGAGTAGATTTTTTTGCACTTTGCAGTTACTGGGACACGGCTGAAATTAAGGTATTATTGAAGTATATAATTTTAATTTATTGTTTGAATTTCTATATTGTTTCGAATTGACATTGTTTTGCAGGCTCAAGCTGAAATAGCAAGGAGGAATCGCAACGCGCCTCACAGTTACGAGCATCACGGGGGCTCCAGGACATTCAGCCAGCATTATCATCAATTAGAGCTTGAGGTATATAATATATTAGCTTTTATGTTGAGTATAATTTATGTGTTATGGGTTAATGATATTTTTGAATAAAATAGGGAAGGGGAGATCTCAAACATTTTACAGATCGTATTCTGACTTCCTGGAGCCCGAATTACGCCGATGAAGAGAAGAAAGCAAAGAATAAGGATCTGGCTGTAAGTAGCAGTTCATTTATATATTCAATTTCATATCAATGCATCATTAGTAAGTCGACTTGCCCGGGTTGTTTTGATATATCGCAGGAGAAATTACATGCCAAGGTACAGGAGCAATTGACTCAGTCTCAGGTCTGTTCTAACACTCCTGCCCGGCTAAGTAGAGAGGATGAGGACTCCATCATCGAGACGGTCATTGGATAAATGAATTAAATATATAATTCTTACTTAGTTATGAATTTTCTTCGTGACTAAATGATATCATACACACCGATACACACAGATACAAACTGTTACACACAAAGCCTAACTCTAACCCTAATACAAAGCCCAAAATATATACTTATAATTTTTTTATGTGATGGTGGTGTTGATGGTGTGTGCGTGCATATTGGTGGTGGTATTGGTTAGTGGGTTGGTTTTGGTGTTGTGTTGTGGTGTCGTTATGTGATTGGTTTGTGGGGGGTTTGGTCATGGTGGGGGAGGGGGAGGAGTGGGGATTGGGTGTTGATGGTGGTGATGGTAGTGATGGAGGGGGAGGGGGTGTGTGGAGTGGAGGTTTTGGTCGTGATTGAGGAGGAGTGGGATTGGGTGTTGATGGTGGTGATGGTAGTGATGGAGGGGGAGGGGGTGTGTAGAGTATGATTGGTTGGTGGGTGGGGGCTTTGATCGTGGTTGAGGATGAGGAGTGGGGATTTTGTTGTGGTGGTGGTTGAGGGGGAGGGGTAGGGCGAGGGGGAGTGTTGTTGGTTGGTGGGTGAGGGTGAGGATTTGTGGTGGTGTTGTTGTGTTGTGGTGTGATGTGTGGTGATGTGTTGTGCAGTGTAGTGTTGTGTTGAGTTGTGATGGTGTAGTGTTGTTGTGTTGTGGTATTGTGGTGTTGTGTTGTTGTGTTGTGATGGTGTAGTGTTGTTGTGTTGTTGTGTTGTGGTGTTGTGTTGTTGTGATGTTGTGGTGTTGTGTTGTGATGTTGTGGTGTTGTGTTGTACTATATTTATATTTGTACTCTTATTAACGTTTACACACACTTGTTAACATTTGATTTATATTTACAGGCCGGGACTTCTTCACAAGGTGCAGCCGGGGGTAGTCATAATGTGGCTGGTGTTGAGGATGAGGATGATGATGATGATCAGGAGGATTGATTGTCCTTAACATAACTTTGAAAACAATTTCTTGTGTTGTATAAACAATATTTATTATGTACCTATCGAGAAAATTTTACTTGCTTTTATTGAATTAAATGTGTGATATATGCGTGAGATGTGATATTTGCGTAAGATTGAAGCTTTCTTCTGCTGATTGAACAAGTTTTTAAAAATTATTATCGATATTATACAGGGTATTTTCAATTTTCAAAATATTTTTCAAAATTTTTTTAAAATTTTTAGCGACGGAAAATCCGTTGCTAAAAACAATTTTAGCAACGGAAATTCCGTCACTAAAGTACTATTTAGTGACGGAAAACATGCACGAAATCACATCTGTACAATTTCAAAAAACAATAGCGACGGATTTTACGTCGCTAATATTTCTTTAGCGACGGAAAATCCGTCGCTAAAGAAATATTAGCGACGGAATATCCGTCGCTATTGTTTTTTTAATTTTTTATTTTTTTAAAATAGCGACCAATTTTTCGTCGCTAATAAACCGTCGCTAAAATTTAGCGACGGAATGTCCGTCGCCAAAAGTCTTTTTAGGAACCCCTTTTATAGCGTCGAAACTTTAGCGACGAAAATTTAATTTTTCCGTCGCTAAAACTTTTAGCGACGGAAAAACGACTTATAGCGACGGATTTGTCCGTCGCTAAAAGTTGAAAATCCAGCAGTGAATGACGGGAAGTTTTAAAGTAAAATCAAACATGAGTACCAATTCTCAATCGAGACCTCCCCTTGTTGAGCATGAAGGTGTCTACCGGCGCACACTTACTCAAACGGGGGTTGCCATCCCGTTCAATTACGCGCGCTTAGCTCTACCTTCTGACGATGAGGATGAGGATTCTCAGCAATGGCTACATCTCAAGCCTCAAGCTCGATTCAGGGCACCTTCTGACGATGAGGATGAGGATTCTCAGCAATGGCTACATCTCAAGCCTCAAGCTCGATTCAGGGCAGACATGCAAAGGTACACATGGTGGAAGTCTCCGATGATCAAACAATCACTAAGAAATTCGAGGAGCACCAGGTCGCCATCGATTCCATGAGGAAGATGTTAGAACAACTTATGGACAAGAAGAGTAAGAAGAAAAGGACTTTGCGCACCCCGCGAAGACCATCAAAGAACAAAGAATGGGGTCCTACTCCTATTCACACAACTGAACAGGAAGATAACATCGAGTCGCCTTCGGATCACTCATTCAAGTTGTCAACTGGGACGTCGCGTACCGACAATACTCCCCGAGACAAGAGAGTAGATGAATTCCAAAAACAGCTCGACGCCCTGAAGCTTCAGAAGAGCATGAACGAGCTTGTCCGCCAAGGCGAACAGGTGGAATCCCGGACTTGGAAGGAGCTTGTCCGCCAAGGCGAACAGGTGGAAAACATGATCAAAAGAATGGAGGCAGAAGAATCTCAATCTAAGAAAGGAGCTTCGGAACCAAATGCCTCTAGAAACCCTCGATCAAAAGGAAAGGAGATCTTGACTGTTGATGCTAATCCGGCCCCCAAGACGGCTCAACGCTAGAAGGCCAAGTCTTTCGAACAATGCCCCCCGAGGCAATACGACTTCAAAGAAGACCAAGTGGTGGCTACCTTCGACACTCTCCTCAAGAGCAACAGGATCAAGCTCCCGAAAGTTACAAATTCGGAAGAGGTGAACAAGACGGATGACCCAAATTATTGTGCGTGCCACAGGTTCGTCAGTCATCATACCTCCAAGTGCTATATCCTCAAGGATAAACTTCAAGCTCTCTACGACGCGTGAGTCTTAAAAAAGGAAAAGGTGTAGAAGAAAGTGACTATGAACATGGTCACCCTAAAATTTGGGACAAATCTCCCTGAAGTCCACGCGCCAACAAGGATAGTACCTATCCCCAAGGCGGTGCTGAAGATCACTAACGCCTACCCTCACAATCAACGAGAGAAAGGCTTGGTACCGCAAACTTTGCCATTAGGGCAAATAATATGGGTCCACCCGGACCTCCTCGACGATGAGCAATGGGCCTCTAAGCCTTCGAAGATGGGCAAAACTAAACCTTGAAATGTCATTTCTGCTATTCCAGAGGGTGACAAAGTGGAGTTGACAACCCTTACTGACTCTGATGATGAGGCGGACGTATTGGCCACCAGAGCAGGCAGGGATTTTTCTAAGAACTACCCTCCAAGGACATAAAATCTAGCAGGACTGTCGTCGGGACCACTGACAGCAGTACGACCGAATCCCGACAGACCAAGTTCGAGCAGTTAACACTTTCGGTTCGACGTACTCACACAGCTGAAGAACATTCTAGCTAGAATTACCTTGTATGAGCTCCTACAGTTGTCCAAGTCTACCCGAGAGGCTCTGTGAGAGGCGTTAGCCGATTCAGAAGCTTTTGCCATGCACTTCCCTCCCACACCGGAAGGAGATACGGAAAGGGGGTGTCCACAATGCTACCAGATAGCTGAACATCTGGTCCCCTGCATCACCTTCACCCCTGATGACATGCTAATCAAGAGCACGTCTCACGACCGACCCCTGTATTTCACGGGGTACATCGATTCTTCTAAAATAGACAGAATCCAAGTCGATCTAGGATCTGCACTGAGCATTGTCCCCCTAAAGCTCATCAAGCATTTGGGGGTTCTGCAATAACGATTGTCCGCGACGACTACCACCATCTTCGGCTTTAATGCCATTGGAACCCGGCCGCTCAGAAAGATTTGTCTCAAGTGTTGTTTGGGCGACATGAAGACGGAGGTGGCCTGCTACGTCATCGACGCCGAACTGTCCTATAACGTACTGTTGGGACAGCCGTGGATCCACAACAACCGAATAGTCCCGTCCATGTTGCATCAGTGCCTGAAATACATGAACAAGTATGATCGAGTGAAGATGGTGTATGCTGACAAACAACCCTTCAAGGGAGTCGAGAATTACTTCACTGACTCCCTCCTCTACCAGGACTTTGAGTTGGATGACAAGCCACCGGCCGAGGAGCCCGAAAGCGGCAATGAGTCATATAGCAAACTCGAATATAGCAAGGGCCTCATTTTGGATGATTTCGAACCAATTGTAATCGGCTATGAAGGCCATGATATAACCGACATTGACCAAGCAAACGGGATTATCCTGAATGAAAATTTCAACTTTACTTACTTGTCGTCTAGTTCGAAGTCTGAAGGCAACAAGTCCAGTGATTTAATTTCAGGGTTCTATGATGACCCCTCCTTACACTTGCCTGTGTACTCGTGTATGTCACGGATGGACAAACGATCGAGTCCTCGCAAGTGGTATTTGTCGTACCCACCCAGGATAATTATCAGAAAGATATTATCTTTGGAAGGATAGACCGCCCCTTGTGCACAATATGGGATGAGTCGGAAGAGGATGAACCCACACCCTAATTCTCGCAATACAATCATGTAGTGAGACACATGATGGAAGGCATGGGTTATGACTTTACTCGCCAAGAGGGCCTATATAACGGCAAAGGGAGAAAGACG